CACCGTGATATAACTGGAATAATGTTATAAGCCACGTTTACCGTAACTCACGCACTCACTCACAAGTAATGATAATGTCACATCCAGGCGGGCGAAAAGTACGTTTCAACAAGCGTTAGCATCTTGCAACACAATATTTTAACAAGTAATTCATGCAAATGCAATGATTTATCATTTTTGTTTCATCAAAGCTGACACCTTCATCGAGAATACATCACGAATGCAACCCTACTTAACACTGGTGTCTCGGTAGTTTTGGGGTCGGTCCAGTTTCTCTTTTTTTATGTCCAGGTAGGAGTATTCGAGTTGACCAGGCTTTGGGAAAATGTCCACCTTTCTTCTGAAAGAGAGGACCTGTGTAGATCTGGGGTACAACTAGGTCTTTAGCAACCAAAGTTTGCCGTACAAGGCGACTATGCTTGTCGTAAGAGGTGACTGACGTGATCGGATTGTCAGGTTCGCTGACTTAGTTGATGCATGTCATCGTATCCGAATTAGGTGAATCAATGATTATGATGTCAATCACTGGATTGGCTAGTCGATACTCGATTATTTACAAAACGCCTTTATATAGCGGTAACATTGCAACAAACAAACACATCTTAATAAGAGACTATATAGAATCGTATCTGCAAATGGATGCGTTAATTGAAGAATAATCCGCCAGCTTTAGAAAGGGTCTTCCAGAAATTCTTCAGCATGCAGTTCATTTATATATTTAATATTTGACTTCATTTTTCATTATTGAACTCGCTACTTATTTTAACAGTTCATTTCAAGACGGAGTATTTATATCGGAGAAAATGCTTAACATGACTAGCTGCTTTTAGCGAAAGATCTGGTTTTGGTGGCTGATAATGTTGTCTGTTTATTTGTTGTTTAACGTCGCACTCAGCAATTTTCTGGAAAAGAAATTGTGTGGATCGATGTTTGTGATGTGCGACGTTAAACAACAAACAAACAAACAGTGATTGAGATCATGATCATCGATCCTCAAAATTGGGATACGGAAATTGTATGAACCAAGTCAGCGGGCCTGACCACCCGATCCCGTTAGTCGCCTCTTACAAAAAGCATGGGCTGCTGGAGGCCAATTCTTACCCGGAATCTTCACAGGGTAGATTATAATGTTGTCAAGGTACAACGAAGATTAAATAAACTTCAAGACTATTCTATGATGTGAGGTGTGGATATCAATTTAGAACAAAGTAAAGTCATCGTGTTTAGAAAGGGCGGCACACTGTAAGCACTTCAAAGTAAACAGCCTCACCAGGTACTGGCTTCGTCTCTTGAGAATGTCACTTCAGAAGCACCCTCATCAATGCCAAAAATGTTAGAAAGTATAAATTGATGGAAAACACCAAAATCGGGCTACATGCGTGAGTAAGATACTATTCCCACATGGTTTTGGGTATGTATGGATTGCACAATGTTACGTGTCAATTCCCAAATTGAAACAATATGTTAATCCAGAAATATGTAAGTAAAAGAACCCAGTGTGAGCAACCAGCAAGCAATATAAAATCAACAAGGGTATTACAAAAATTAACTAGGTTTACACATCAATACAAATTACTGCACAGCAATGACAGTGGCAGTACACAATATTGTGGGAGTACAATATATATTCAATGGCAATATAATATGATGGCAGTGGTCAGTATCAAATACAAAAATAAAGTGGTGATAGGATAAGTCGGTGACAAAAAGATATATTCACTCAGCGTCGACAACAGCCAAGCTTCCGGTAGGGGCTAGGCAGGGAATCAGGGATGATGACCGATGTTCTCGAGAAACCTGGTACCTAAGCAAAGAAAAACGTAAGACACGAAATGTGTGAGAGATACGTTAACACGTTCTTGTTCCACTATAAATATACAACCAAACCAGCCACTGGAAAGTTCCAGACAGTACTAATTGTATACGTTTCCTTGATATGTGTTGTGTTCTTATTGAATGTTTTGGCGCGTACATTTCTAGATTTTCTTATTGTTTCAATTTGGAAGTCGAGAGGTAACACAATTATGGTCACCACATTCTTCACGTTACCTGATGATAATCATTCTCGAATATCATGGGAAAGATATATGTCATACAGTAAATAATCATTGTAAATCTGTTGAATACTTATTTGTTCTTATCATTTGATTGATGTTTTATTGACATTTCATTGCTATTTTCAAGACGAGAGACAAATATTTTATAGGTTTAGTCTATACTGAATCATTACATGTCGTATACAGTGTCGTTCTGCACGACTTGAAACGTGATAGAGACAACACGAGGGATGTCACATGGTGATATATTATATTGGCTATATCCATCGTCAGGTTGGTGGTATATGTCAGAGGAAGCGTCTGGACATTTGCGTCCGGAGTGGTGCATCCTGTGCTTCTCTAAGATTTCTTAAGGATGAAGTGTCTCGGTGACAATGGGAACATGCTTCTGATAGTAGCAGCTTATTCTGTTATTACATTGTCAACGTGCTTGAAGGTTCCATGCCGCTTTTTTGTAAGGGACACAACGATTCTAAATTATGTCACTATTGGGAACATTGGCTTTAAGTTGTGCCAAGTCAGATGTATTGAACAAGGTGGCTGTTTGAGTTTTGAATACGATTTGGAACTTTTAACCTGCCACCTACTGAGTGCTGAATCAAAGAATGTTGAGAAGAATGCAGGACACATATTTCATCTTAGGAATCAAACCGACGTAAGTTTATCACATGGTGTGTTAATTTACCAAGAAACCCATAATAATATGCACCATACAACAGTATGATAAAATCAATTACATGAATGCTTATTACCACAGAATATCATTTTCTTTTCAGAAACAGAATTTAGCTGAAAGCTACGTTTTTGCCATTTGGTCTAACTAACACAGCATTGTCATGAATTTGTACATTCTGCCATATTTAATTTTTTATATTTCTATTTTGATACTTAACTACCATAAAATGTTTGTAAACAATTCACAAGACACATAGAATGACACATGTATGAACGAAACTCACAGTTTATAAATCCACATATTAAGCTATGAACAATAAGCAATGGTTATATAGATAGGTATGTCTTTGTGAACAGAACTTGCATGTTATATACACAGTTTTATGCATATATGAACAGTACCCTCAATTATTATATCCCTAAATGAACAAAACGTTATCCCTCTTTAATGCTTAATGTTTGCACCAACCTAATATTAACTTACTTTAGCTTTTGTTTGTATGTTGTTTAACGCCGCACTTAGCAATATTCCAGCTACATGACGACGATCTATAATAATCGAGTCTGGAACAGATAATCAAGTGATTGACATCATGAGCATCGATCTACGCATTTTCGATATTTGCGACATCAACTAAGTCAGTTAGCCTGGTCACCCGATCCCGTTAGTCGCCTCTCACGACATAAGGACAGGATATAAGGACGTCGTAAAACTTCTCATAAATGCAGGAAGTAATGTGTCACTTGTTGAAGATCATGGTTACAACATTTTTCACATAGCCACTTGTATAGGACACTTGGGGATGGTAAAGTATATCTTATCACAGAATATCCTTGACATCAACAGTAGGACGAAGTGCAACAGGACACCTAGCAATATTCCAGCTACATGACGACGATCTATAATAATCGAGTCTGGAACAGATAATCAGGTGATTGACATCATGAGCATCGATCTACGCATTTTCGATATGGTGACATCAACTAAGTCAGTTAGCCTGGTCACCCGATCCCGTTAGTCGCCTCTCACGACATGCAAAGTCGGCTTTTATGGCAAGTATGGGTTGCTGAAGACCTATTCTCTACCCAGAAATTCACGGGTCTAACAATAAATGTGTTATTGTTTGTGTGCAATATGTACACAAACAGTTATGTTTATAAACGTATACACACAAACAAACATATGAGCATCATCCACATTATGTATGCAGACATGTAAGAACAAAACCAACAATATATACACAGAAGCACAAACAAGAACAATAACCACAACAAATATGCAGATGTTTCCATATTGCAAACATGTCCATACTATCTATTTACAGACATCACACATAAAAGCCATACCAAAAGTAACTATACTTACTCTTGTGCCAGCAACCCATCATTGCTGTAAAAGGTGACTATGCTTGTCGCAAGAGGCGACTAACGGGATTGGGTCGTCAGGCTCGCTGACTTGGTTGATGCATGTCACCATATACAAAATTGGTAGATCGATGCTCATGATGTCAATCACTGGATTGTCTGGTCCAGACTCCATTATTTATAGACCGCCGTCATATAGCTGGAATATTGCTGAGTGCGGCGTTAAACAACAAACAAACAAAACCCGTTGCATATAGAACACACATACATTATGATCATGTACTTTTTCTTACTTCTGACTAAAGGTTCCAACTGGCTCTTGTGTAGCTAAGTCTTGCAGTGTCACGTCTCGATGTTTGAAGGCTCGATCTGGAAAAACGGTTTGTGTTACAGGTAATTGCATCATTTTGTTGATAATGATTGAGACAGATGTTCCTCAAAATAAAGAATGCATCAAATAAGAAATCACGATACATGCCAAAACAATTTCTAAATTTCAATGTAAAGTTTCCCGAAAGAAAACTATTGTCCACAGAAACTGTTCAAGTACACTCGTCTCTTTTATGTCGAAACAGATCCAATGGGTCGTAAAAAGCAAATATCGATAAAATTGAAATGTTGGACAACTGAAAAATTGTGATGACACCCGGTGTTCGTGTTTGTTTCTTGAACTCCACATCAAGGAGTTTCCTGCCATACAAAGGCGGCCTGTAACACATCGGTTCTGGACCTGACAATCATGTGATCAGTATCATGATAAATTATTCATGTCGTCGGGGGTCGATTCCACGCTGTCAACCAAGTCAACTAATCAGCAACCACACAGACAAATTGTGATATAAACTACAATCAAACGCTGACTATTTATTTCAGATATTTATATCAACTTTCCAATATATACAGGTGGAAAGCAGTTCTCTCCTGAAAGATACATACAAGATAAACCATGTGACCAGGAGGGCAGGTCAATGGACAACCAACTTCACGATGCATGCTGCGAGGGGAACCTGAACATGGTGAGACGTATCTTGTCTGAAGGACAGCTGGATGTCAACAGCAGGGACCGGCGGGAAAGGACACCGGTGATGGCGGCAGCATGCGCAGGACATAAGGACGTCGTAAAACTTCTCATAAATGCAGGAAGTAATGTGTCACTTGTTGAAGATCATGGTTACAACATTTTTCACATAGCCACTTGTATAGGACAGGTGGCGATGGTAAAGTATATCTTATCACAGAATATCCTTGACATCAACAGTAGAACGAAGTGCAACAGGACACCTGGGATGATGGCAGCAAACAGGAGTTATAGAAATGTGCTTGCCGTTCTTGTAAGTGAAGGAGCTGATGTGTCATTGAGAGATCAACGTGGTAACGACATCCTACATTATACCTGTGCTGGGGGACAGGTGGAGATGGTGAAATATGTCCTCTCACTGAACAAGGTAGACATCAACAGAAGAGGACAACACGGGTGGACATCAGTGATGGTGGCAGCAATACTGGGAAACAGAGAAATGTTGGACTGTCTTATAAGTAAAGGGAGTAATGTGTCACTGACAGCAAATAAAGATACCAACATCCATCATGCGGCTTGCATTGGGGGACATTTGGAGATGGTTAAATACGTTGTCTCTCAGGATTTTGTAGATATCAATAGCAGACGTTGGAATGGGAAGACAGCATTGATGCGCTCAGCACAGCGGGCACATAGAGAAGTGTTTGACTTCATATTGAGAAGAGGAGGTAATATGTCAATGGTGACTTATAAAGGCGAAAACATCCTTCACTTGGTCTGTAAAAACACTAAGGGAACCCTAGACATGGTTAAGTATATCTTTTCAAAGAACCTTCTGAACATTAACGCCAGGACCAAACAAGGGGACACAGCAGCGTTGATTGCAAAACGAAGAAAGAACAGTGAAGTGCATAACTTTCTCGTGTCGCATGGTGGTCTATAGGTGCCTTCATTTGTACCATTATCCATGTTTAGTATGATGTAGGGAAATAGTGTGTGTGAATAGTTTGAAATGTTTTTCCAATTTCTTTTTGGATAGAAAATATGTACCAGATTAAACTGTTCTGTGAGTCTCATATTCATCGTTAACTTGCTGTTATATATATATTTTAGAAACATACCATGTAAAGCATCATGTTATTATAATAATGGAAATACATACTCACTTAACTTCAAATGTCCATCTACTTTTCTCAGTCAGAACTGATTGCCACAGATATGAAGGAACATATAAGATTATCTGTGACATTGATCCAGTCTATGGAAAGAGAAGGGCATCTGCACATTCTTCAATTGTGTCTCAAGAAGATGGTGCTCAATTATTATGCTAAATGGCTAGTGACCTTTAAATGATGTCTAATTAGGAGCTCAACCTACTGTGCTTTTAAATTTGATGTAATCCCACTGTAGAATAGATATCTCATATTGTCATTTGGAGCTGAGAACTTTAGCACAAGGTTTCAAATATATAAATAAGAGGTATCTACTTTACAGTGGGACATATCAAATTTCAAAACACAGTAGCTTTATCTCCATTCTACCATGACGGCAACAACGGTTTGAAAACGGTGCTCTCTTGCAAGTCGTAACAACACAGGGTGTGCTGGTCTGCAATCTAAGAACGTTCCGAAAATGGTCACAGGTAGTTATATATGTAACGCTTATTGCTTAAGTTGAAGATTAAAAAGAACATAGTCGTGAGTAGTTCAAAATAAGTGTTCAAAACACTTAGTTTTCTCAAAATGAAGTTGACAAATAGCACTCCAAAATTAATCCATGGACAGATGTTAATTTCTACAAAACCGCTCTGCACTGTTTGAAATGACGATGTAATTTCTTGGAATTAAGCGAGAGAGGTCACATCTTGGAAATCGAACATGCCATTTCCATTGTAGGGGTGCCTGGTTGTAGAAAAAGGTATTAAAATGCTAAACAAATATATTTCTACAACAAAACTTCATGAATAAACATTCTATTATATATTTAACATGTGTAAGTGTTAGTTTAAATATGTTAGCAATTACCTCCAGTAAACAATAATAAAACCAAAATAAATGCCTGTCCACCCCGAACTTGGCTGTGGCAGAACTTGACCTACATCATGGTTACTCACACCTCACAGCTGTCAGAGGCTGACAATTTTGTGTACATGTTCTCCGTAATTAGTTAAAAGAAGCAAGATGACAACCCAGATCTATGATGTGGTTCAACATTAACCTGTAGATTTACTGGGAATGGTCGAGTCTGCTGGTACAATATGATTACCACTGCAACTGAGTATGACTGAACAGCCGCTGTTTAGGCTGCAGACGAGCTGGATATTTTGGCACGAGGAATCTGCATGGTGGGACCTGTCAATTTCAAGATTTCATGGATTCAAAGCCAGAGAGTGAAAGAAATGAGACATTTGTGGCCCAGAAATAGAAATGATTTTCACCAAATTTGACTTCAATGATGTCGGGACATTGTTTTCGTGGCTTTTCGAATAGATGAGTGTTTCTGAGTGATCGACTTTCAAATCCTCTTCTGACATATCCTTATGATGGTGGTTGACAGGGATGACAACGACTGCCGATCACAAAAAGGTTTGTAAACAACATGTTGTCATGAATAAAGTTTTTTCAAACAAATTTTTATTATGTTCTATTTTACTTTCATCATGTTTATTGTCGGTTGTTTCAATGAGGAAATAGCTGAAATTGTTCCGATTTTGGTCACCATAGAACATGTCCCTAACAGTTTCATTAACATTTCATTTCTATGCAAAAGATATGCATTCGTTATTTTTTTTAATGTCATCATGGAAGCAGTCAGGCTTGCGGCCTAGAACGCCCAAAACATCTGATATCGAACGCCCGTATTTCCTCTATTTGAGGCTATGCTGTCTATTAATTCGCGACAACCCTTAACTCGGCGTGTATTAGAGACCTGGCTGGTATTTTTAGAGACCCAGGTGTAAGAGAGGAAATTTAGATACGTTTTACAGTTCATATGAGGCTGATAGATCGGCAGCCATTTTATTATAAATCGATATGTAAGGCCATCTCTTTCTTCATACGCACGTTTTTTTTTTGTGAAAGGCTTAATATATTTGAAAGGGGTTTTCATAGGTAAAAGGAAACCTCTTTTTAAACCATCGGAATTAAGCATTCATCAAATGTCATACACTATAAGCTGGGGTTTTACTTCTTGTTGTTGTTGTTGTTTGTTGTTTAACGCCGCACTCAGCTGTATTACAGCTATATGACAACGCTTTATAAATAATCGAGTCTGGACCAGACAATTATGATTATGATATAATCATAAGTATCGATCCACGCAGTATGGGTTGCTGAAGACCTATACTACGCCGGATCTTCACAGGTCTGGTGGTTAAACTCTTCTAATAGGCCCGTCTATGTTATCTGTATGTAAGCTCCTCTGATTGGGACGTTCCCAAAGCCCTGTGGTCCACGTCGTGATTCTTTATGGTACTGGTGGCATATTTTACATTACTATCATGAGTTACTATCATTGGTTAATAACCACATGCGAAGGGTATTTTTCTGAAACTCGTCATTTTTTTTACTATTGCTTTCAAAGGTGGCTCAAAGTAAAACAATAATTAATGAATATTGTTAGAGGTCAACTGCATTTAAGACTGTTAGATGGGGGGTATATATTGGAATTAAAATGTTAGTAGACACAATTGGGAACATTTCTGTTGATGCTCGACTGTGGATCACATCTTAATAGTGATGATAAAAAAAAATCGTGAAGAGGTGAGCGTATGTTGCCCCAAAATGTTACAAACACATCTAAAGGCAAGGCATCGCTGATGCATCGAATTTGGAAAAGTCTTTCACAAACGTTATACAATTTTTACTAAAGCATTCCATTGATAAAGGAACTTGAAAGTTTGCAGAAAGGACAGGCTCGATGGGACCTCCAAAATTGTGAAATGTAGACACCAAAGGCTCGAGCTGCATCCAGATTGCTTGACAAAAAAGGGAATGTAACAATTTGAAAACTGAAGTCACCCCCTTGCCCTGTGGAAAATAGTTTGTTTATGTCAATGTTTATGCTTAGATCTAAATATAAAACAGATGACGCAGTTTGACTTGGTTCAAATGGTCACCACGTTCTTGACACGGCCTGATGATAATCATTTAAGGAAAGATATATATCATTCAGTAAATCATTATTATCATTCTGCTTTTATATTGATTTGTTCTTTTCATTTGATTGATGTGTTATCTGACATTTCATTGCTATTTTTAAGACGACAGATAAATACTTTAAAGGTATGGTCTGTAGAGAATCAGTTCATGTCTTATACAGTGTCGTTCTTCATGATTTGGTGACACGAGACACTTTTTTAACATCCCTTCAGTTGAAGCCGCCATTGCAACAGTTGATTGTGGTCCATTGTATCTTACAGGTCACAATCACCTATTGTTTTGACAAGTAACCATTGTAATTATCTGGTTTAAAATCATGTTATTTGCTTTGATAAGGAGACTGCTTCAGGACACTACTACCTATTATTTGTCTAATCAACTTTTGGGCTTCAAATCTGTTTCACTTTATATTTATTACAAAAACAAAAAATAATTTTTGATGTATTGACATTTTTTATGTATTAACATCAGACATCTTTTCGAGGCAAGGGAGATTTCTGACTATACAATTCTAGTTTCCACCCTTTCCAAACTATGCTGGAACTTCCGAGTTTTGGATAGCCTAACGAATCTGTGCAAAGTTTACTCAAAACTGCGTAACAAAATCGACATCCGATTCCTTAACAACACGGCAACTTGCGTGGATGTTTCAGTCGATTGCAGGATTTGCAAAGCATGTGTGCCGTCAAATGGCCGTCGACAGATATCTTTTCCCAATCTTTTCATGCACGAGATATGAGGGATTGAATCTCACACATAATACATAACTCGTAATAGCAACTGATGACGCTATAATTAAGCCACGAAATTCTAGCCTAGTTTGACAAGAGTGAGAGTTGGACATTATAGTCAGTTTCCTCCCTTGCCTGCAGAAGGTGACATTTGATTGCTTCCAATATATTGTGTGAACTGCAAACTTAGACGAGTTCCTTTGATGATCATGAGGTCAAAGTAGATCCTACTACATGAAGAGATTAAGGAGTCTCTTGTGGAATTCATTTAAGTCAATCTGTGTAACATCCGGTCTCATTTTTCAGGTAATATGCATATTGACTGAAACTTCCAGTCAACATGTTTATTGCCTGAGTGAATATGTCAATATACAAAATGACTGCCATTTTTAGTCAATATACATATTACCTGATTATCGACATTGACTGTGACATATACGAGTCGTACATACATATAAAAGCTTATGTAATCAGGCACACACACAAGAACTGTACCTACAATAAAATACAGATGTATCCATATGTCAAAAGTTGTCATATCCATATCCTGTATTTTCACTTATAAGAGCCATACACAGAGTATCTATACGGACATATGCGTTGATCAACAATACCAGAAGCATATAATCATACAGTTTTCATACTTCTGTCAGGCTCGCTGACTTGGTTGATGCATGTCATCGCTCCCAATTGCGTAGATCGATGGTCATGATATTAATCCCTGCATTGTCTGGTCCAGACTTTATTTATTTACAGACCGCCGTCATATAGCTGGAATATTGCTGAGTGCGGCTTTAAACAACAAACCAACCAAATCATACTTCTGACCAAGGGCTCTGACTAGCCCCTGCGTAGTCAAATCACGTCCAAATGTTTGGAGTCACGATCTAGAAAAGCACTTTGTGTTACAGCCTCATCATTCACAAAAGTTATGTTAGTCAAATCGTCTCGATAATTTGCCGTAACATATTCCATGGGGCGTGATGAATGTTATATCAATGGATCACTATGACGATCCGGGATAGAATAGGTCTTCAGCAACTTATGCTTGC